ACAATTGAAGCAGCTTGGTTGGATGGTAAGCGCGTTGGTTTGGAAGCATTGGGACCTGGGTTCGAATCCCAGGTCCCCCAAATACTTGTTACAATTTTTCCTTATGTATTCATGTGCAGCACCCCACGCGTGGTATACCATATAGCATTGTTTGATCTCGTGCCAGATGGCCTCCTGGCCAAATCTGAAGGCCAGGATTGAAGGACCATCATAATCTCCAGTCAACGCACATGCATGGGATGGCCACAGTCAAAGCAGGCTTAAGCATTTTTGGGCCACAAATTTCCAGCTTCACCTCCTGATTTGGGCTTGAACCCCCCTGGGTTTATTTCTTCTTCTCTTTTTATTTTTATTTAATTTGTTTTTATTAATTCTTAATTAACTACTAACTAAAATAATTAACATTTTCTTAATAAATTCAGAAAACATAAAAAACATAATATTTTTATTTATTAAATTTAATTAGTTTATTTTTGTAAATAAATAATTAATTAATTAATTTAGTTTTAATTAGGTTAATTTTAACTTTTTTGCAATAATTTAAAATTAATATAGAATTAGGGTTCTTGACAATTTTAATCATCTTTATTTTTATTTCCTTAAACATTCTAAAAAACCAAAAAAATATCCTTTTTATTTAATTAATTAATTAGTTTAGGTTTAATTCAATTAAATGCAAGAAATAACAAAAAAATCTCTTCCTTTCTTAAAAAAGGGTCAAAACCCTAAAAACTCGCCGATTTAATTTTTCTCGCGCGCATGATTATTTTTTATACTTTGGTCCATATAATTGTAATTGCTCCGAGGATGTAATAGCTTTAACCTAGGACTTTTTTACCGCTTTATTTTACTTTTTCGCATTTACTTTTCAAGGGTTTGTTTTTGGCGATGTAAATACCCGACGCCTTGTAATAACTTAGTTTTATTTTCCGCAACCATTAACTTCTAGATGTATGCTAATAGGCTGTGCATGACCAGATCTATCTTAAACTTGAAATCAATCGTAGCTCACCATAACATGTACAAAGATAACATAACTGAAACCTGACACACTTGCACATGCCACTCTTAGGGTACGCCTCACTTGGTTGCCTCGAACGTGGTCATTGAGTATAGGAAGTTTTAGAGGCCGTCCTCCTGTCTAAAGATCAAAGTTGCCTCGAAACAGTTGCCTCGATAAAAAATGATCTAAGACATTAGGGTTACCGCTAAGGCGTCCTACCATTGCTTTAGTGACCACATGTCCCTAAAATCGAATTGACCCGAAAACTCCAACGACGGTGCTACCTACTTCTCAATAGTGGGATAGCACTGTCTAAAGGACATTTACACAGCTTAATTTCTTTTGAGTAGGTAGAGGTTCTCAGGTACTTGCTCTTTCAAAACAAAATCAACTTTTCGCACTTACACTTTTCAAACAAAGTTTTCAAAAACACTTCATACACTCTTGAGGACAGAAACAAGAGTTAAATCGAAGTTTTCAAACAAAACTTTTTTCGAAACCCACGAACACAAGAAAAGCAAAACTTTTTAAAAACATAGTGAGCAAGTACCTAAGAGCCCGTGGATAACCACGGATAGAAAGGGTGCTAACACCTTCCCTTTCTATAATCTACCTCCCGAACCCGAGAAACATCTCGAAAAGGAATTTTGTTGTGCTTTTGTCCTTTCTTTGTTGGATTAAATAAAAGACGGTGGCGACTCTTGCTTACCGCGACATTTTGCGAAACGCAAACGCGAACCAGCATTTCAAAACAGTCAGTTCTCATTCCCACCGATCACACCTGCTTTATTGCTTTTAGGTCCGTTTCGCCTTAGTCGAACGGACCCTTTTGAACACACTTTGTGAAAACACTTGAGAACTGAGACACTATACTGAGATTCCCTGGTCGATCTCTCCAGTAAACTTTCTGTTAAGAGACCAGCGTTATTTGCCAAAAACCAGAGATAAACAGATGCATAATGAACTCTAGATTGTTAGTTGTTAATGGCTGAGAGATTTGAGTGAATTATGTGTTTTAATTTCCCACGAACATATATGGTTGATTCAAGATTGTTAGGGAGTAATTAGATAATTTGATATTGTAGAAATGGTGTTTTTTCCCTAAGTTTTGGGTGTTTAAATCAAGTGAATGGGGTGTACGAATCGAGTCATGGCCATTTTGAACCTTTAAATTGCATTAGGGGTGTATGAATTGATTCAGGAAATCATGATTTTACCCCTGAGTTTTGTGACTTAATTTATGGTATTCCATGAATCGAGTCATGAGTGCAGATTTTCCAACAAAAAAAAACCATTTTAACCTATAAAACACTAATTTAATGTAGGTAATCATCCCTAATTCTAATATAATGATCCTATGCTCAATTATTCCAATTAATTGACTTGGAATTAAAGGAGAAATGGGATAACAAATTCTTAAGGATCAAGAGGAATGTGTGTTCAGAAATAAGAATAGTCCTATCTAGTAAGTGTAAATGCATTAGACTTTGTAAAAAATTTTAAGGATTAAATATATTTTTGTCTCTATAAATATTTCAAATTTGATTTTAATTTCTATAAAAAAATGTTACGTTTTAGTTCATATAAAATTATTTATGCATGACGTTTTACTCATTCAACAAAGACTAAAACTACGTGCATAAATAAATTTATAGGGACTAAAACGTGACATTTTTTATAGAACTTAAAAGTTAAATTTAATAATTTTATAGGGATCAAAAATATATTTAACTCGAACTTTAAATGGTATGAATGTCATGACTCCTATAATCTAATGTAGTAAATGAATGATGAGGCTAAGTATGTTTCTTATATAAGTATGTATGTTTCTTATGTATCGAGTATGCATGTATATAGACGATTACTTAAGGCTACGTGACAATAAAGAATCTTCCGTGGCTAAGTGGGTTCTTCATTTATACTACGACGACAAAGTGGATTCTTCATTTATACTACGACTGAACAAGTAAGTCATGGTAAGTAAGATACCACTTATGGAGATAATCTATTTTCAACCTTACCAAAATAAAACATGTATCCAATTTATGACGGTGACCACAATATCACAGACCTAGAACTGACTTGTAAAGGTAACTCTAATTATTAGGAAGCCTCATTTTTACATGTCTGATATGTTTAAATTCTCGGGTTATTCTCACGTTCGGGGATCTAATATTTATGCTCATATTATGTTTGGACCATATTTAGATCAAAATAAAATCAAAATTATTCTTAAGATCGTAGTTAATTATTCTTAAAACTCTCAATTAATTATTTCTTAAGATCTCAATTAGTTATTCTCAAAAGATCAGATAAGTTATTTTTAAGATCTCAGTTAAGCTATTATTGGAATTTTAGATACATTATCATCAAAACTTTAGTGAGTAGAGAAAATTAGTGACCAAGGGCTTAAAAAAATGAAGTGAGTAGAGTTTGAAGTTACTAGTAGAAAATCCACTGGAAAATTATTTCTCACTTCACGTTAATTATATTTTATTCAATAACAGAATTTCAGGATCGTCAAGACGAATCAAGGGAAAAATCGAAAGCAGAAGATTAGAGATTATGTATTAAATTTTAAAAATAAGATTGTTAATCATGTAACTCCACTTACATATTCTATTTCCTTTATTTATCTTTATTCACCTCTCAGACGGTCTTACTGATTAAATTCTAGAGGACTACCTCTGAATACCGTTATGTTAAAATTGTATAATAAGTTGTAGATACCTATCATATCATATTGCATTTTTCTATCAGAGCTGATCGAGCAGACTGAACTATAGCGAGAACTTTAGCTCCTCCAGTCCGATCCAATGCGCCTTAGATATGGATCACTCAGATAAACCCAAACGCACAAATCTAGCCAAGCAAGTGAATATTAAAACTGATTATTTAACAATTGCTTGACTTAAGGATTAAATCTATAAATATTCTAATTACATGATTCCGAGGCACATATCACTTTCTTAGAACCCTAACCAGGTTTAGAGTATTGTACTTACCGAAGAACAACATACATCTACATTGAACAATTTATTTATTCATCTACTATTAACAAAAGTTAAAATCTTTTAATCAAATTTAATGTATCTAACTCCTAATTGATCAATAATATTTTATCACATTTTTAACATTTGTAGACATGCTTCAAATGTATTCAAAGAGCGCATAAGAACGTAAATTGTGTAGGACACTTGTTTTAATAGTCTGACACTTATGGTACGAGTGTTATGTAGGTGTCACATACTGATTTAAAGAGCGTCAAATCAAAGAAAAAATCAAAGAAAAAAACAAATTTTCTGAGACATTTAAAGGTTATCCAACATATATGCAGAATGATACAGAGTCTTGAATACTTGAGCATGTAGACATAGATATATATTGTGGTTGAGGATGATGAATATGATTTGTTCATGGTGACCAAGTGGCCTTAATAACACAGCTTCATTTCCTACCATACGTGTCAAATGGTAAGTGCAACTATACAATCAACGGACCATAGTTTTCCTTTGCTACATGGTCATATTAAACACACGGATGCTTAATACATTTCCACGTGACAAATGTTCTCCAAAGCCATAAATATATAACTCTAATTAAGGCCAACGGCATTGTAGAAATTAACTTAGCTTACTCTAACTAATTAAGCATCCAAAAATGCCTAATGAGCCAAAAGTCCATTTCAATTAAAGGAGATAAACTTCTCCATTACTATACTACTTTTTATGTGACGTAATTGAGAAAGACACGAAGCTTAACAAATTTTAAAATGGCCAAAATCCTAACTTGTCTTGTTCAAAAGGGCACTAATTAATACTCAAACTAATGTGACCTCAAATTTTGGCAAACTTAAAAGTGAAAATTCAAGCACAAACCTAACCCAATTGGGTAGTTGAGAGGACATAATGCTCACGTCAATAACAGATTCGACATTTATTTGAACCTCACGAAACAGATAAATGACCAAACAGAAAATTGGTAAATTCATTTTTCAATGGAAACTGTGAGCACTGAACCATCAAAACCAGAATTGGATTCCAATCAAGATTTGTTGGCTAAAGATGAAGCAAAAGCTCAAGTTGTTGTTCTTCAAGATGATGGAGCTTTGAAAGACAGTACAGAAGCAGAGCTCAAGAAAATCAGTCTCATGAGAACTTTTGTTGAAGCCCGCGACCCTTCTTCTAAGGTACATACTACTTAGTACTACCAAACAAACATCATCCTCGTATTTAGTTTAGACAAACAGTTGCAACAACAACATAGTTTTGTGTCTTGTTCCTTTGTTCAAAATTGGTAAATTTTGTTGTCAATTACTAGGCAATTGCGCATAACCGATTTAGATCTGTTTCTGACTCCAAAACAGGTTCAATGGATGTCCCTAAGTTTGACTTTTGGTTTTATAAAAAAATGTGTTTTTTTCCTAGAATAGTCAAGCATGTCCATGTTTGAAATTTTGGGTTGTGATAAAAATGCAAAATTTATGATGCCCATGTTGTTTATTATTGCTGATTAGGCTTAGATGGGAAGTAATTGGATTTGGAATTGATTTGAGCCTTGTTGGGCAGGAAGTAGATGATTTGATGATAAGAAGATTCTTGAGAGCTCGTGATTTAGATGTAGAGAAATCTTCAGCTATGTTCCTGAAGTACTTGAAATGGAAGCATTCATTTGTTCCAAATGGGTCTGTTTCGCCTTCGGAGATTCGTGGTGATCTTGCACAGGAGAAGATGTATGTTCAAGGAGTGGATAAAAAGGGTCGACCTATAACTGTTGCATTTGCTGCTAAACATTTTCAAAACAAAAATGGTTTGGAAGCATTCAAACGTATGTTCCCCTTTCTCTCACTTGAAATGCCATTAAGTATAGTGCTTTCATTTAAAATCCTCTCATGATTTTGGAGAATAATATCTGAAGTTCGGTTGTTTGTAGCACCGACATCTCTGATTAAGGGTGTGTAGGTTACGTTTAATTAATGATAGGTACTTTTTGTGTATGCAGGGTATGTAGTTTTTGCGCTTGAGAAACTATGTTCAAGGTAATGGTAATGCCTAGACTACATTTTGATCATTGAATTGAATATGATGAATGTGAAGTTTGTAAGATGGTGAATAATGTATGTGACAGGATGCCACCGGGGGAAGAAAAGTTTCTTGCTATTGCAGATATTAAGGGATGGGGATATGCAAACAGTGACCTTCGTGGATACCTTGGTGCTCTAACAATTCTGCAGGATTACTATCCAGAGAGATTGGGAAAATTGTTCATAGTTCATGCACCTTACATGTTTATGAAAGTATGGAAACTTGTATACCCTTTCATTGATGACAATACCAAGAAAAAGGTAACACTTCAAAATTGTAAATCCATGTTAAATGAAGTACTAATTGTTTTTGAAAACTCGAATGTTTTAAGAGCATGATGTTGTATATATGTGTTGTGTTGAATATTTTGCAGATAGTATTTGTGGATAACAAGAAGCTGAAATCGACATTGCTAGAAGAGATTGATGAGAGTCAGCTCCCGGAGATATATGGAGGCAAACTTCAACTAGTTCCAATACAGCATTCATGATTAAATTTAATTATCACATGAGAATAAATAAGGAAAATCCAACACGGAAGATGAGAAAACAAACACACCTTTTATTATGAACAGGTGAGATCGGCGCAAGATGAAGAACATGAAAATGAGGACATGAGTTTTGGTGTTCTGTAAGTTACTGCATCAGTTTACTACATGACCTTGTTCTCTGTCTGCTATAAGATGTATGGATGCTATTATGAGACACTAATCAAGATCCATATGATATGTTTTAAAATTTATTTATGCAACTATTATAGTGACATCTTCATCCTTTTCATGTTCATGTGTTGCAGAATCTAACACAAGTTCTAACAACTTGTCAATGTGACATGATTGGTTGTTCAAATCTTCAACACAAATTCTAACAACTTTGTCAATGTGACATGATATGTTGTTTAAATCTTCTCTACATATAACAACAATATTACGAGGAGAGTAAGGAAATTTTTCTATATGAAGTAAAAATGTACACTTCTTTCCTTTATTCTCTCCTAACTAATGAATGCTTTTAAACTAGTGAACTTGAAATTAATGAGGATGATGTCTTGGATTTGAAACTGGATACACATTTACATCCAAACTTTATACGTGTTGTACAAATTTTAACTTATTTGTTGATGGGGTAATCTAGATATTTTTTCTGAATCGAGTATCAAAGTATAAATATATTTTTTAATAAAGACAAAATATTAAATAAAATATGAAAAACAAAATCTAACAATTCAAACAACTAATAAAACCGATAGTTAGATATGTTCAACCTATCTTAGTTAGATATGTTCAACCTATCTTTTAAAAAAAATTCAAAAACACAGATAGGAAGTGAATTCCACCAAATGACATAATCAACTAAAAACTGACATTGTTTAATTTTTCCGCACATGCATTTCATATCTGGAAATGTGAGATATTTTGAATCTAAAGAAATATATAATATGTAAAGTATTATTTCATTTAGTTAAAAGATGTCAAGGGATAATATTCATATTAGAAAATGCATAAATGATCATCATTAAGTTTAAAGCCAACGATTTCTTCAATTCTTCTTGTTAGCATATTCCACAAAAATCACGATTCTATATAATTCAACTTGAAAAAAGGTGCAAACTTCAATCTTAATTGAGAACGCTCCAAATAATGTTCATAAATTATTCATCAATATGCCACCACATATTGATATTCTAGGATTTTCTCTTGAAACTTCATTTGTGTTGCATTTAATCCAATTATGACTAGAAAAACATCAATTATGATTTTTGGTGCGGGAGGAGATCGACATTTGATGTCAAAGCATTTAATAATTGTAAGCTCATAAGTTGAATAATACACGTGATCCTTGAAAGAAGTAGATTTTATATAAACAAATTATTTAACATGAAGAATGTCTCTATCAAAGTCAATTTTACCATTTTAAAATATGATATCATTTCTTGTGTGTCAAGTTTTCCAAAGAATTATTATGATGAGAGGCATGGTCATATTCTAAATTTGAGAGCTCAAATTGACGGTACAGGAAACACAAGAAAGAGGAGTTTGAATTGAGTTTCTAAATTTGAAACTTTTTCTACCCAACACAAGCAAAGATGAAACAATAACAAAATAAATGAACACAATTATTTTTATCTTGGTTCACTGTTAACGAAGTTAATTCAGTCCACCCGCCAAGGTGATTTTGCCTTTCTCAACAAGGACTTAATCCCCTATAACCAAACTGATTATAAACCACAAAGACTACCCGTCAATGTCTTCTTGAGAAATTCTGACTATACCCTAGGCTCTCAAGAAATAATCAACTCAAAAGTTGAGATACAAAAGATGTGTTTACAAGATGCTTCTAAAAAAGCATATTCACACAAGTTGAAATCCAAAGATGAACACATAAGTGTTTCTAGAAAGTATATGAACAAAAGTTCCTTGCTTTACATCTCTTTACGCAAAGACGAAATATTTACGTTTTAGAGCTCACGTGAAAAATTGATTTTGCAAAAATTATTTTCCATTCTTCCAAGTCTTCTTTATATAGCCAAAGAAAGACCAGTTTGAGGGGAGAATGGAAATTCCAAATTTCAATTGTATTCTTGGATAACGGTCAGTGAGAGTGGTAGACAACATCATATCGTAGTACAGTCCTTGTGCCACAAAATCAGAGTAGTGAGAGAAATATTTGATCTTGTACCATGTATTATTCACTCACGTAAAACCTTTTTGATCTTATCTTCTAATCTTCAGAGGCTTTAGAATGTATATTGATGAAGCATGCTTAGAAGGATTAAAACCATACCTTGTCTTCAAAGTCTTCTGAACTTGTTCAACAGAACCTTGTCTTCAGAGTCTTCAGAACTTGGTCTTCAAAACCTCATAACTTGAAAGTGCAAAATCTTCAGAACTTGGTCTTCAGAACCTCAGAGCTTGAGAAGTCCTTAGAAGATCTTCCATCAGAGCCACAATCAGAAGCTTTAGACTAACGTTCTTCAGAAACATTATTTATAACAATGTCTTTGTAACACATACTTTGTATCTCTCCAGAGTCAGATTGTGTTAATTCCAGAAACTGATGATGTCACACGTTATTCTATCAGAGGCAAAACATGTTAGTAAAATCTATATACTAGACAAAACTATGAGGGTATAAAATTATTCTCTAACAAACAATGTATTGTTATCATCAAAACTAAAAGCCAAATACATAACCAAATCTTATTCTTACAATCTCCCCTTTTTAATGATGACAAAAAACATGTATTTTGATGAACAACTTTTACAGGTTTAATCACATAAAGACATTTCAGATTTAGCTAAACAACTCTTCCTGAGTTCTATACTCTCAAAACTTATCTCAGCTTCTTCAGAGCCCCTCTATGAGTTCAAGACTTATGAAATAATTTTGAAGTATAAAACCCTTCGCTCAACATGAAAGGAATAATTTTATTATTAGAACACCATCATAGTCGGACTATAATGCTTGGTTAATAACATCATCAGAGTTTGAGCAGAGATGCCTAGTTCATCATTAGTGTGAATAAAGTTATCTGGTTGATTGTCTCAGATTCGGGCTTATTATCAGAACAAATAGAACCTGGTTTTAATGAAGTATCAAAACGTGTGTATCAGAATCTGGTTTAACCATGATTGATGTACCAAAGTGTGGTTTAACATAGTCTAGTTGGATTTCCTTTAAGGAAATGTATGGTTAATGGATTTCCTTTAAGAAAAGGTCTAGTTAACATGACTTGATTACCATGACTTCTGGATATCAAAACATGATATCTCTCTAGAGTTTCTGAAGTTTTCTGTTTAGAAAATTTCAGTGAACTTTCACAAAGTTCCTGATTAGTCAAACATTGTTAGAGGAAAAAATATATCAGAATATGTATGGGATCAGTTACTAGAAATAGATATATCGAAATCATCTCACTTTCTCCCCTTTTGTCAGAAATAAAAAAGACTTAGAATAAAGGAATAAAAAAATAGAACTTCATTTAATAAAATCAGATAATGTACAAATTTTGAAAACAGAAAAATAAAAACTAAGTTCTTAAAACAGATGTAAAATAAAGGGTCTAAGGTTGCAGTGGAGGTGGAGGAGGCAACCTTGACATGATATCTCTGAGCATGCTGGTAATCACATATTTGGTTTCAACTGGCTCTTTAAATCTCTCATCTTATTTGTCCATACGTTGTCTAACAAATGCATTATCTCTTCTGAGCTCATCCATAGTTTTCTTGACCACATGAGGCACAATCTCAGAGCCAGAAGCAAAGGTCTTTAATTCTCTAGAGGATGTACCAAACTCAAGGGTCTTCTTATAAGCTTGAGTCTCTTGGTCAGAAACTGCCAAGGGAAGTTCAACTTCTGGTGTTGGGAGCAGAAGCACTGAAGGAGGTGGTCTGTTAGCAGCAAGTCTCAAATTGACCTTTATCATGGCATCCATGAAGCAGAAGAACTAAATTTCTATAGTGCTGGATACCTTCCATCCTTTGAAGTCACGCCAGAAGGCATTGCTTTCATCAGGATCTTCATAAAAAATGCACTCATCCACCAAGGAACAAAGTCTATTCAGAACATCAAATTCAAATTGATTTAGTAATTCATCTTTGGGTGTTGGACGAACATCAGTTCGAAGGAAAAGAATGTCAAAAAGGGTGGAATAGGGTTTAGAAACTATATATGGTATGGTTGTGATCTTCAGAATTGCTTCTTCAGAATCCGAGGGAATGTAGATGACATCAGGTGGGTTCTTTGTGGTAGGTACATATGACTTACACTGAGGATCAAAGACATGGATACTTTCACCCGAGGAATCAAAGTCACTGGGGGGAACGATTCATGAAATATTACATGGTAGTGTCAAACACATGGGTACTAATGATGTTAGGATAAGAGTGTATTGATGGGTCAGTTTGGTGTTATGGAGAGGGAATATCAAACAATTCTTCAGAATCAGATGAAATATCATGTACATCATCTGAAGAATCACTGGAGGATGGCTGGTTTAATAAGAAGTCTAGTCTCCGAGGTTTGATGAGTCTAGGACAAGAGGGAGTTAGTAGAAGTAGTTTTAGAAGGAATGATTTTAGAAATTGGGGCAAGAAAAGGTGAAGGGGCAGAAGATGGCGGTGTGGGAATAAATGAAGCACTAATATTATTTTGAAAAGAAGTACTAGAAAAAGACTTATTTGCAGTAGGAGGACTAAAATCTAGGTCTTCTTGAAAGTCAAGAACTTCAATTTTCACAGGCTTCAGAATCCTTGAAGATGCAGAAGTTCTTACAATCTTAGCAGAAGATCTACCTGAAGAAAATGATCCTTCTACAAGGCTCTTAAAAAATTTCCTCTTCTCTCTGATAAATGGATCTTCTGGCTATTATGGGAGATCATCGAGAAACCCAGATTCAGCAGCATTAACATAGATACTTTGACGAAATGTTTCACAAACATATCCTAGAAAGTTATCAATAAAATTTACAATTTCCTCATAGTAAACACTT